TCCGCCCCCCCCCCCCCCCCCCCCCCCCTTCAAAAAACCTGGATCCGCCCCTGCGATTAAAACCAACGACTTGGGTTTAAGGCAAATATTGAGCACTGGAAGGGCGTAATCCACTTCGACTCATTTTAACTGTGCGGTTTTAGTAAAAAAACCTCTTAGTCCGTTTCAATTCAGAATGATTGTGATGTAGTCTGTGAAAGAAAGTTTCATATCTGTGCCATATCTTTCTTTATAGAAAACACGCGTAGCGTCTCTTTTAAAGTGGACTCAGAGAAAACCAATATCATCTTAAATTCAGAGCCAATTTTCGTTTTTTGAGTGTTTTCCTAAAACCGATCTCTGGCGCTTTAATAAATTTAATAAGAAAACGAAAGTGAAAGTGGACCCACCTTGTCATCGTGTGTGGGCGGGTCCCTAAAATGATACAACGGGTCATCGTTAGTCTCGGTCCCACCAGGATGAGAATGTTCGTGATTGTCTATAGCGACACTAGCGCTCTCTGGCTTCGACTCCTTGGAAGGAGACATTTCTTTCAGTTCGATAAATGAAATTCCATTTTGAGAGTGTTCCGTTCCGTTTTCCGGCGGCCGAGTCCCGTTTTGAGCAGGGTAGGTTGCCTTTTCCATGGCCGAGTCGTCTAATGACGGATCATAACAAGGGTTGTCAATCTGAAATAATAAATTAGGTAAATATTAATAAGAATTAACAACATGCAGTGGTAATAATATGTAACCCTATGGGGTGTAGTTTTATTTCTCAGGGTGAGAGCTCTCACTCTAATTTCCCCTCCTTTCTCCCTGATATCATTAACATCATCATCATCATCATCTTCATATTAATAATAATAATAATAATAATAATAATAATAATTACTTTTAAAACAAATAATTATTATCATTAATTTATTAGTGCATTATCAGTATTATTTTTAATTTCATACACCTTTAACACACAAAGCGTCTCTGCAGTAGTTGGCAGCAGTTGCCTCACATCTTTCTGTGCTGCGATCAAATGTATTGTTTTTATCAAATATTGTTTTTTCAGCTTCAACAGTGCTGGCAAGCAGACAGAATCAATGTATAAGACACGGCACCCAAGGAAAAATCTTCTGATCGAGAACCCACAAACAAGAATTTTATGGACGAATTAGGAACGCGCGCAACATAATATTGCACGACAGAGGTAATACACCATATTATTACACAGTGTCTTCACACAGACATGTTTGTCTTTTTTTAATGGAAGACAGGTTGGATTTTGAAGCGCGTTCTTATTGGTGGGAAACGTCTCAGAGACTAGAAACACATCCCTGTTTTTATTAGTCAGCTTACAGCTGTCACATTTCACCAAATATTGACATACATACATGACTGTCCCAAAGCAGCGGTTTAAAAGTGGGGAGGCACAAGTTGACGACATCCCCTAAGGAAGACTGGGGTGGGGGTGGAAGGGGGAGTCGATCCAATCCTGCGGGAACAGACTTAGCGTTTAAACAGAAACCGGAGAATTAAGACTCCGTTCACATGAAAAATCTATTTTCTAAAAATCTATTTTCTATTCGCGGTATCTTGTGATCACTCCGAGCGCAGCCGAGAATTAATTACAGCTTTGGAAGTAACTGGCTCGCGCTGCCAGTCATTACGCCGCGGGGTATTCAGGGCACACACCGTGATCACAAGATACCGCAAATATAAAATAGATTTTAATAAAATAGATTTTTCATGTGAACGAAGCCTAAATCCGCAATGCCAGTGTAACCTTTGCCTCAGCTTTGCCATGAGAGTAAACTTCATGACACTCATATGTTTACTGAGAAGGATTGGGGTGGAGTGGTATGGGGGCAGGGGCGGATACAGGAACATTTGAAGGGGGGGGGATGCGAAGCCGATCCTCCTGACCCCCCCCCCCCCACACACACACACACACACACACACATGCACACTAAATCGGCCACTGGTAGGGGGGGTCGATCAAATCCTGTCGGAACAGACAAAAACAGAAACTCGAGAATATAAATGTCAGTGTATCGTCTACTTCAGCCCTGCTAAGAGAGTGAACTTCATGACACTTGTATGTTAACTGAAAGCCCTCACTTCAACCTAGTAAAGTACGCCAGAAATATGTATCTTATTTTCCCTCACTCATTTTTTTCGGCAGTAAGATGACTGTGAAGGGTGTTAACCGCGTGTTGTGCGTTATTGTCGGGTTAACTATGCATACAAGACGCACGTTATCACCGACGCGTCTGTTCTAAAGGTGTGAGTTCAGTCCTCCAGGTACTTGAGTTCTGACCTCTGAGGAACCGCAAATATATAGGCAATGCATTTTTGTACCAGTGATATATATTTAGTTTGTGTAGATATTAACAAGTCATGGAAATGTTTTGTCTTAATGGAGGGCTTGGACAGGAGGATGAGTGGATAGTGTTTATTCTCATTATAACACGATTTGCAGGCCGTAGCCTCCGGGGGGGGG